CATCATAACATATAGGCCTTGCCTACAGAAAAGAACATTTATGTTTAATCTGTCTAATAGTGTGTTGGTCATACTATACAATGATTTATAGCTTGTCTTTGTTGAATAATACAGAACATAAAGAGCTTTAAAAAAAAATTTGCATATTAAATCGCAATATTGGTAAAAAAATTCGCAATTAGATTATTTTCCAAAATTGTTCAGCCCTACTAAAAGCTGATGTTTGATCTGTGCTTTTAAATTTCCTAGGGTGCTTTCACAGTTCGATTGCTCCCCCCTCCCCCTGCCCCCACTGGACTGTGTTCACATTATATTATTTGAGTCCGAACCGTGGGTCATTTGCGTCATCAAGCCAGCAGCTGTTTACCCCGTTACTTAGTAACGATGGCACAGGAGAAGGTGGCAAAATGCATAGCATTGCTCTCTTCAATTTTATATTTGTGTTTTTGAACTGTTTTGTTATTGTTGCCAAAGCTTCAGTACATAACTGTACTTGCATCTCTCTTACGAATGTACTGCAAATGCTCTAAAGAACGCTGAAGTGAACAGAAATGAGATATACAGCTCTCTGCTTTTATTTATTTATTTTTTTTTAACTGTAGAATAATGTGAACAGATGAATTTGGCACTATGAATGTCTTTTAAAGTAAATACGGTCGGTTTTGAATTCATGTTGACGTGAAACCACAGCAACCCCATCACCTCATCTCAAGCTGAACGGCACAGGTCTTGGTAACACAAATGCCGGCTTGGATGCTGGTGTAAAATGGATTTGTAGTGTGAAATAGCAGTGTAATGTAATGAGTGTTTTGAATGGAGCGGTGGCTGGCACCTTGGAGTCTGACAGAGGGTGATCCAAGCAGCCGAGCACAGCCCTCTTTGTGTTCTCAACACATTTGAACTATCAAAGAATGCTTGTCTTCAAACTGGATGCTCATTCTTCTGTGTAAATAAGATTCTTATCTAGCAAATGGCTCTAAACACTCCCTTTCTTTCAAAAATACATTGTTTTTTCCCTCCACATAACTCAATCATTTTGATGTTGGTACAGCACGGCACTGAAGTATTTTCCATTTCAAGAGCGCCTCAGATTGTCTCTCTGCGGAGAAGCGGTTGGAACAAGAGGGTGATCTTTTCATCCCCCGCACTCTTCAAATGTTTGGCAGATTGACCGCAGAGGAAGGAAGTATGTGTATGTGTATGTGCATCTACTTAGCTAAAGCTGCTTTCTCTTGTTGGGGCTGTGCAGTGTGAATGTTTTTGTTAAGATGATGAAGGTTCGTGACCTGCCCATACCACCAGTCACATTTAATTTAAACACAGAGCCCCTCTGCTCAACTTCACTTCAGAGGAGGAAATGTTACAAATTATTTTTACGTTTTGCACCATATCAGCTTCGCAATGTCTCCTGTGTTCGTTTAGTGTGTTTTCTTTCCTACACAAACCCCTGCCATCACATAATTGTGTTGGAACAATACCGACCTTCTTTCTCAGACTCCCCTTGATTTTTGTTCTGGAAAGGGCGCACTGTCCTGCGTCCAAAAGCCCTTTAATCCTATTACTCACATTCCAGTTGTGTTTTACATAGGGAAACAGATTTTGTGCAGGTTTGAAAAATTAAGATAATGTTCTTGTTTGTCTTCTTCACAGATTGTGTGTACATAGAGAGCCGACGGCCGAACACACCCTACTTCATCTGTAGCATTCAGGACTTCAAGCTGGTGAGTTGACTTGGCTTTTTCCTTCCACTCATCTGTCCCAATCAAGGCTCCCTCTCCGCCAGCCCTTATGTAACTGTGTTGCCATTGTGTTTCATTTGTTATCTTTTTCTATACGTCAAAAGCAGGATCAAACACACGGGTTTGATGTGGGTAATTGCCTTGATTTCAGTACAGGTTTGCCGTGAAATAGCTGGTTGTAGTTGATGTCCAGGAGCAATGTTGCTACAGTGTTGGAAATTAAGTTTCATACCTTCAGATTTTCCTGTACACTTGTTTAACCAGGCTTATGGGTGTTTTCTGGAAATGAAATGTGCTGACAGTTGGCTTTTTCTACTTTTAATGCCTGTTTTTTTTTACTCTTGTAGGAAAATCAGCCTGCAACACACTGAGATTTACAAGTTTAATTAGCTTGTGTGAACCGGAGCACCAGATATTCTCTACAAAGCCTCGTCTAGCTCACACATGTTTACGTTGTAGCGCCAGCTTGGTTTTACATGCCGTTAATTGATCAATTAAAACAAAGTGAGAGAAAGGGAAAGAAAAACTCTTGTTGCGGATCGTAGTTCTCGCCACTTGATCTGCTCCTCGCCGACACTTTTTATATAGATTATTAATCGGCTACTTAAAAAGGTTGAATCTTCAAAGGACACATTGATCAGAGAGCAAAACTACCTCAGATTCAATCTGCTTTATTAAGCCAATATATATTTTCCCGATTTATTTCCTCCAGCAGCCAGGAGACAGCTGCGTTTTTTTTCCTCCATAGGTGCCACATTCGATGGTTGCTATGTTGAGATAACGTTATGTCACAAGCAAATAAGCACATTATGGCTTTTCTGATGTCTACTTCCCCTCAGCAGGAGACAATTATCCGAGAGGTCCTTCAGCCCCCCCGTGGAGTGTGTGGAGGAAGACCCATGAGGCTTTGTTAATGGTACTGAACAGCTAAGGTGCTGATGGGAGGGGGGTGGACACAGGGCAGACTGGCTTATGACAGCCACAGGAGCTGGGGGGGGGGGGGGGGGGGGGGGCAGAGCCCGGGCATCCAAGCAGCCTGTAATCGGATTGTGCCGAGGGCAGCAGAATCTTGCTCTTGCCAAGAATAGCAAATAGTATGTTTCGTGATTATCTTCATCTTGATTAAGTGCAGATCTAGGGGTCTTTGTCTGATGGCTGTAAATGTCAGAGGAGAAGACAAGGCTTCATTGGCCCTCCTTTCTATCTTGTACCACCTTAATCCATGTAATTAGTCAATGCTCATCCATGTTGTTGGCCGTGAAGTGGATTGGATAGAGGTTTGCCATGTAATTTTTAGGCATGGGTCATGATGGACAACTAGTCAGCTGTCAGTTGTCAAATTGTTCAAGTAGGAATAACTGCAGGCTAGAGCAGTGGGCGTGGCTAAAGATTAGGGCGTGCCAAAAGTTAGGGGGCGTGGATAAAGGTCTTTCTAATTGGTTAGGCGTTAGTTTCTGTTGTAGCATTCACCTGTCGGCATGCCACTTTTTGCCACACCCATGACTCCGACCTGCAGCTACCCCTGTCTCTTATTGTTGGCAAGTCGATTAGTGAGGTCAACTAGTATTTTAAGATGTTTTATTAAATATATATATAATATATGTGTGTGTGATGATTATATGATTAGATATAGGGATAGATAATTAAATCTAAATTAAATAAAAAGTATATACAAATATGTATTTAAATATTAAATATAATTTTATATTCTATAAACAATTTGCTAAAACATATAAAAACTAAATGTAAAAAAATATTAAAATGTGTATATTTGTATGTGTGTGTGTGTGTGTGTGTGTGTGTGTATATATGTGTATATATATATATATATATATTTCTTTATATATATATATATATATAATGTGTGTGTAATTGTGTATATGATTATTAATTTATTTATTTTTTGAGACCGGTTGAGTCAATTTGTTGTTTAGGCAACGGAAATCAATTAGTTTTAAAAATGTCAATTGGCCATTCCTGAGTGCACTGCTTTTTTTCTAACATGTGGAATACGAGTGTTTCATAGCTGTGGCATTGTTCAGCTAATTTGAAACAAGTGTAATGGACGTGCTGCTACAGCTCAGATGCTCACCTCTAAACGCCGGCTGTCAGCCCTCTCCTTTTAATTGGGAAGTGAGCATCTGTCCACTGAAATGTGCTGGAAAAACCTTGAGGTCAATTGCCCTGAACCCCCCCCTCCATTTATGTCCCTTCTTATGCATTCTCACCCTTTCTTAGCTTTTAACACTGGCATGATTCATTCACTGGTATTGAGCAGGGCAGAACGGGATAGTGGGCCATAACAGTAAATGAGGATATCGGAAAGGTTCCAGCTTTAGTGGATTTACAGAGTGGTTCTACATAATAAAGTGAATTCATTACATGCGTAACGATCATGGCTCTCAGGAGGACAGGTTTCAGCCGTATTTTTGCTAGCATGCTTTTGAGAGCTTCTGTTTCATGCAGCGTCACGTAAGCCTCTCTCTCAGCGACCGTCTTCTGCTGTGAGTTGAGGAAATTGCCTCGCTTCTGACAAAATAACCTCATTAATATGGTTCTCCTCTAGTCTTAAGGGTTGTACAATGTCACCCTGTGTACTTTATCTAATGACCTGGGAATCCAGTTAGCACCACGGAGAAAACCTGCATGCTGCAATCAATTCCTCTGCCCACTTTGAGCGATGAGATCTTTTTGTGTGTGCGGTTGGCCGATGTGTATGGCTTGTATGTTGATGCATACACATTCACAGATCTTCACACTGTCACAGAGATGTTTCCGCCCTTCACTCAGTCCAAATTAGACCGCTTTTCACTCAACCTTTTCGTTTTCCCCCTCAGTAGTTATATTCATATTCTGAATGAGCCTCCTGCCTAAACGAGCTTAAAGGTGTCCAAAGACAGGTGCCTCCACCCTTGTTTGTGAGCGCACAGTCATCCCTATTTCATACACAAATTGTGATTAAGGCACAGCTAACTGAGCTATCCTCAGCTTGTGTAAATATTTCTGTGATAAAGACAGATTAAAAAAGAATTAACAGAGGAAGAAAGGGGTGGGGAATATAGTGAGTTGCTGCTATATGTGTGTCTTCTCTCTGTCTCTCCAACTCTTACGCACATAAGCCCCGCCTTTCAATTTAAAGAGCATTGCCCACTTGTTTGCTTGTTTACACACACATATGCGGCATTTGTTTATTGCAACAGTTGTTGCTACAAAGATTTGTCAAAAAGGCTGTTTTATTAAACTTTGTTCATCAAAGAAAATATCAGTTTCCACAAAAGCATTAAGAAGGACAATTCTTTTCAGCGTTGATGATACTGTTTATTGCACAGCAAATGAGCATATTAAAATGATTTCTGAAGGATCATGTGACACTTAAGACTGTAGTAAAGGCTAAAGTAAAGTAGTAGAAGTGGAGCAAAGTAAATTCAGCTTTGAAATCACAAATACGTTTTTGAATTTTTTTTTGTATTTTTTTTAATACTAAGACTTAATTATAATTTGATTTGTTTTATATTGTACTATAGTTTTTATGAAAAGCTTCATCAGATCGTAGTTTTTTTCCCCAGGGTTTCTTATACCTTCAAATCAATGTGTAATGTTATGATTTATTTCAGAGCTGGTTGGTTTGGTTTATGCTTTAAAATTTACATTATTGAAGAGTCTTTTTGAGATCTATATAGAGAAAATGAATGGGGATAATACTTCCAGATCTAACACTGCTGAAAAAGAGTGTGGTCACTGTTATAGCTAGACCAGAATAATTGTGTTTTTAGTGTTTTTTTTAGCTTAAACTGCAAAATTTATGATACCAGTGTCAGATTTTATTGCTCTTTTAAAATGTTCAAACGCAGTCCTACATAGTTTTGAAGATTTATGTCTTTCTCTCAAGTAGAGAGGAACTGTGCTTGTATCTCCTACAATACAGGACTTTGCTTCAGCTCAGGTGTGATAATGGGCCGCTGTTAGCCCAGCACCATTTTGTGTGTTTAAAAGCCAGCAGTGCATACTGATTTCAAGGACGTGGACAGCCTGTGTATTTATTTTACGACCTCAGCCCATTAGTGCTGTGCATAAGACATACGCTGTATTAATGTGACGAGGGTGACACATTCAGTTAAGTATCTGTTGCTAATAGGAAAAACAGCTATGCAATGAGTCCTGTTGACACTCTATTGGCTGGAAACAGAGCCTTGAGACGTTGGCTTTGAGGAGAAGAGGTGAGACGGGAAGAGAAAGATCTCTCTGGGGTTGCTCGGACACAAAGACAATTCAGCACCGAATCGATCATAAACAGCAGAAGCCTTTATCCTCGAGTCAATCACAGTCTCTAGCTCTACCCTCTTTGTCTCTGCCTGCCTCCCTCACTTGTTCCTCCTGTTAATTTGGGCTGGCTGCATATGCCCGATGACTGACATTGTTGTCGGTGTGTGTTGCCGTGGCACCCTTCCCCCATCCCCGTGGCTAAACTAATTTGCTGATATTGGCCAGCTCAGCTGCAGCACAGCGCTGCCTCTAATAGAGTGATTGCTGCTTGCCTCTGGGGGCTCGGCCGCAGGCAGAAATGCCCTGCTCTTCTTGCTGTATTGGTGCTTATGGACATTTAATTAGGTGTGATGTACAATACAATTATCAAAAAGAACTCATGATTTCCAATGATGCACAGCAGGAAGAAAGGTTGTTCTTTGCTGGGTTTCCATCTGACTCTCATAAATACAGTTTTAGAATTTTTGCTTGTCATTTACTCACCTGCATGTCGTTCCAAACGTGCATGACTGTGTGCATGTTTGTTTCTGATATTTCTGCATAATGCTGCAATGTTTCACAATATGTTTTGTTATTCATTTTAAATTCCTGTAACAAAAAAAAACATTTTGATAGAAACCCAACTATTAACACTTAACCGGCTTTTTGTTCAAACATCTTGAGGCTGTTTTTTCTATTTCCCATGTGAGTATTAGATCGAAAATTCGGGGAACTCTTGA